TCTCACAAGCTAAAACGCATTTTCCATATAATATGAAATAAAAAATACAGCCAAGAAGATTCTGAGTATTTATGCCTCAAGAATCTAACTGAATAATATCTAAGAATAAGGGTGTTTCTTGTTCTTAAAGGTTAGGTTAAATGCCAAACTATAGGCCGACTCTTGAGGGTACATATATATATACACACACACACACACACACATATACATATACATATATACACATATACATATATACACACACACACAGTCATGTGTCTATAAAGTTTAGGAACAAACACATGGAAAAAGGGATAGGAATTATTCTGCACAGGATCTTGCATTAGTGCATTTAGTGAATGCGGTAATCTTCCCACTTCGTATAATACTAGACTAGCTTGAAATCTTTTTTTTTTTATATTTTTTGAGCTAGAATATTAGACTTGTAATCTACTTTGTTAAATTTTATTTTGATTTTATTATTGAGTTTCTAGAAATATTCGAAAAGAAATAAACTTGTTTGAATATTCTTGGTGCAAATTCAATGCATCAGGCAAAAGAAAAAAAAAAGTTTATGTGGTGGGAAAACTTCACTTTCATTTATCCTTATGGTGCTTAATGTATATGCACAAAAAGTCTCCCAATGGTTCCAATCTTAGGAATCAAGCGCACTTTTGATTTAGAATTTTTGAAGATGTGAAAAAGGAATGATATACGGTTAATACTTAATGAAAAAGTGCAAAAGTTCTGTATGATTTGCATAGGATTAGGATCTGATCCATCTATATCTGTTTCATGGTGATAAAAGGGCATAAAGTTAAGCACATAGCAGATATTTCAGGGTTGAATTTTTTTTTAGTATCATTATTGTTTCATGCCTTACACCCCGTTTGGTAGGAAGGAGAAAAAAGGATATGGAAATTAGAAAATATGTAAGAGATAAAAAAAAAATGAAATTTTAAAATGGTTATTAGTTTTCCGGTAAGTTGGTTAGTGGATAAGAGAAAATAAAATGAGAGATTTGTATAATGACTATCACATTCGGCTACTAACACTATCTTACTTTGGTAACAAGGACAAAAATGCAGTTTAAGTTAATCTACTATAGGCCTACCACAACTTATATTCACCGCATTTTTTCTTTCTTTTTCTTTTCCATCCTACCAAACAAGTTACATTTTCATTCTTCATCTAATTATCCTGTTCTCATTTCCTTCCTCTTTTCTGTTCTACCAAACATTGTATTAGTCTAAAACAAAAGGCACACCCCTTGTTTCTAAGTTTTCTCAAGTTTCTAGGCACAAAATTAAGTCCATATATTGCCAAAGATAAAAATGAAATTAAAGTGGAAAAAAAAAAAGACAATTGGGGCAATTTGAATATTAACTTCTTGAGTGTGAACTTGACATGAGAGTCAGTTGCAACTGTCTTTAATATTTCTCGAAAAACACAAATACAATCCAAGGAAGCAAAAAGGAAGGCACTATAGTCAAATTGTGGGAATTTTTTTAGCTCATCTATGTTTTGAGCCCCATAATCAACAGAACATGAATCCTTCATGTGCCACTTTGACCAATTTACGAGAGATCAGTGAGAGAGCATCAAACAAGTCCATATAAAGCAGAGCCAATTAGAGAAAATTAAATAATTAAATATATGTAAGTGTAAATATGTGTGTGTCTATATATATATATATATATATATATAAACATACACACAACAAAAGGTGTGAACTGTGGAGTTGTGCATGTGATTCTCACGTTGTCACTTTTCTCTTGTATTCAAAGTTCAAACATACAACAAAAGTACAAACGGACACCAGCTCATGAGCTATATATCCCTTGTTAACCGGCGTCGTTGCCGCCATGTTACTCGTTTTACTTGTTACAGCCAACCCCAATCTCCACGCGGTTACCCACCTGGCTATGTATTATTTTTTTTTCCAAAAACTGTTTAATTTGATAGGTGCTCACAAAATATGACTTTTTTTTATTTTTTTTTTAAAAAGAACTCTTTTAAAAAGTAATATTTTAAACTTACACTAAAACTTTAATAAGATTTTTATTTTATAAACTTAAATATCATTGCAAAGAAAAAAAGATTCCTAGTATTAATAATAAAAGTAACATGTTTTATACAAATCAAAAATTTCCAAATTGACCCAAGTCTTATAACTTGAAACCCTACGACCGTGTTTGGAATTGATCTCGTTTTTGTTTTCTACTTTTTTTGAGTAATAAAAAATAAAAACGTTTTCAAAACGGCGTTTGGCGCAATAAAGATAAAAAACAGAAATGAAAACGATTTTCTGGTTCAGTGTAAAATGAGAGAGAAATGAAAAATGACTTTTTTTCATTTTTGTTTTCATTTTCTCTTTTCTCTAGCAGAGAGAGAAATAGAGACATTAATAGATTTTTTTACACTGAAAATAATATCTTGCTAAAACTACCAAACGCATTTTTAAAAATAATTTCTGTCTGAAATTAAAAACGTTTTCATTTTCATTTTCATACAAAAAACAATCATTTTAGAATGAGTTCCAAACGCGCTCTTACAAGTTTTGTTTCTCATTTCCTTTCACCAAAGTCAAAACTCTCTTTTCACTCACATTTCTAAAAACGAATAGTTCTAATAATATAACTAAACGTCGGTTCAAAATAATATAACTAAACCTTAGTTCAAACCTTATTCTTTATTTAAATCTTATAATATTAAATGTCAGTTCAAATTACAGAAACTCGCGAGGAGGCCTTAGTTGTTCACCACCAACCCTTTTTATATATTTCTCTCCTCTCTTTCCCCAACGTGTGGACCACTGCCACTAACTACCAACGACTTTTAGTTGTTAGTGATTTCAGATTCTTACAGCTTGGATTTTGGGTGTTGGAGATAGCCGCTTAAAAACTACTTCGTTGGCAGCAATAAATTTGAGTTTGTTCTTTACGTTTTTTATGTGTGACTTTGGGTAGAAGTAATTAATACAAAATTATGCCCACCACCCACCACTGAGATTTGTGAATAACAAGTGGCTTGTTCTTTTGAGTAAAAAACTCAAAAAAAAATAACTCGAGTTACAATTTTATTCGAGTTTATGTTTTTTTAAGTTTAAACTTGAGTTTAGGATTAAAACTCGAGTTCAAGTTTCCCCTTCAACTCGAGTTCAGAAACTCGAACTCAAATTAATTAACATTATTTTTTCTATTATTAAAAATGCTATAAATTTTACGTTTTAATTCTGATTGAGACGATTTTTTTTCTATGCGTTGACAATGAAAAGACGAATAAAACCCGACCCATATATCCTATTAAAATTTTTCATCAGCATTGAGTTTTTATTAAAATATCATCTAAATACAAATTCAAGTTTTGACTCACTCAAACACAAACTCAAAAAGATTCTTATCTCAAACCATAACTCAAATGTAAACAACCAAACACAAACTCAAGTTACAAGTTCAACTCAAGTTATAACTTAAATTCAACTCAAGAATTATACTCAAGTTAAACTCCAAAAAAACAAACCCTTGGTGACAAAATTTATGATGTGTGACTTTGTTCATTTATTTATTTATTTTCTTGTTGGTGGTAATTCTCGTGAATGGGTCGCATGCGGATTATTGAATTTCTATGGTTTTTTTTTTTTTCCTTCAAGTTGAAAAGTATGAAGGAAATTTTTCTAGACATTGTTGATTTTCTAACGTTCTAGATATGTTGAAATTTTCTAATTGAAGGAAGAAAAGTATGAAACTTTTGTTTAGAACGACATCAATTTCACATTTGGGATCGACTATGTGTCGGTGGTCATAGCATTTTCTCTTAGAACAGAATTACACAACAAAGGACAATCCAGCCGTCTCCTCTCTCTCGTAAACATATATTTTACAAATCCTTCTTTTATCAATATTATTATTATTATTATTTTATATCTTTGACTACTCTCTTAATGTTGCAATAGATTTTGAATCAATCATATGGCCCTCTCATAATCATCTATGAAATGTGTTAATAGCTAGGAGGAAGAATATTATGTAGAATTATCCATGTATTTATGTGCAGTTGGCCTATTAGGCGTCCATTTGTGACAGATATTTTAATTACAAATTCAAATTTTCAATTTTAAAACGGATGTGTACTTTGTCTAAATTTTATAGCAAAGAACACTGAGGTAATATTGACAAATATTATTTAAAAGTGTATGAATCAGGATTTTTACTTTTAATTCATAACATTTTTAGTTAAATAATTACGCTAATAAAAGAGTAGAATAAAGAGTAAAAATCCAGACTCATACACTCTCAAGAGTAAATTCTTCATTTTTATAAGAACAGTTAATGATAAAGAGATATATATGCGTGCCAAATAATGAATAGGATATTTGTTTCAAGGTTCGTCCTTAGTTCTGAATCATAATTATTGATTCTCTACGGTGTTTTTTTCTCACAAAAAATTTAAATTTCAAAAATTAAAATCATGAATGATAATTCTGAACCCATGAACCAAACGTCGCAGATGTGTTTTGGTCAAAACTATAATACAAGTTAGCAATTATTACTTGGGAATAAATACAATTTAGCGATTATACTTTTGAAAAATGGCATATTAGTTTTTGAAAGGCTTAAAAAAAAAAAAATTATAGAAGCAGCCTCAAGAGTTGAAACGGCAAAGAAACTTGTATTAGAATTTTCTTTTTTCTTTCTTCTGTGATACAATAGTTTAATTGTAGGGGAAACAAAATTCTCCTCAAAATTACTCCACTATAAATATTCCCACGAATTGGTTGAATCAATATTTTTTAATTGAAAGCATATTAAATCAACGGTAACACATTTAAATTAGTAGCTTATCTAGAACTTCTGTATTTCAATTGTAGCTGAAATCGTCCAAATTCCAGAGATTCCAATTACGCGGCAATAGATTCTTCTTTTCAAATTTTTAAGCGCATAACACAACCACACAAAATTGGATAAGAAAGAGAATAATAAATAAAAGAAATGCAAAAAATAATAAATAATAAAAAAATCTGAGGTCAACCATTGGCTCTAAATACTTAACAAGTCGTTTATGTACAAAGCGTGTGGTGAAATTTCCTGTATAAAGCCCCAATTTCTTTTTTGTCCTAGTACCTAACCTCCCATCAATGCCTGCCAATAATAATAAACCATTACAGAAAAATATCAAATACCAACGACACCTTTTTAAACAATCCCCATCTGCTTGCTTTTTCCCTCTACCTATAATTCAAACGAACGACAGCATTTAAATTTGGACCAACCAAACCCAACCATAATAACAACTATTAATACTATTACCAAATTCCACCTTTCGTTTCTTCCTTTTCACTTTCTATGTACACAAAGCTCAAACCTCAAGCAAAGAATATATGCCAACAATGTGGACAAGTCTTCTACTACTAAATTGTCCTTTTAGTGTGAGTGACTACTCTTGCTTAAGAATAAGATCTAATCAATCCCAAATTGTATAGATTCCTCCTCACTAAGCTCCCAAGTGATAACAACACGGCCCCACCAGCCCCAACCGCCTCCTCTTCGCTTTCCCCCTTGGAGTGATATACCAATGGCAATTCCTTCACTTTCAAGTTACTCAGCCCTATTTTCTGTCGGACCGATTCGATGGTTTTAGGGTCCGCTGGATTGCCGACGGCGTCGGTTACGTAGAAAACGTTCCGAGCCATTTCGCCCGAGGTGGAGATCTCGGCCCTTGTCACATTTAGGCCGTTTTCGCGGAATGTTCTTGTTACATCCGCTAAAAGACACTGCCTGTCCGCCGTGCATAATTCTAGCCTCACACCCTGAAAATGTGACACCAAAATTAGCTGTTAGCATTTGCGGCATCAAATGAAAATAACAAAATTAATTCCTAAATAATAAAACCATTGAACCATGGTTTTTAGTCCATACCTCAGATGCCCTTCTTTTTATGGCCGCTTGTAAACATTGGATCACACGTTGTCGTTCGGGTTCTGAGCTAATTGGGGTTCCATCTTTATGCTTTATGTAAAATTCCTGAAACCAAACACAACACCCAAGCCTAATAAGTCACTAGGATGTTCAAAAATAATTAACCATATCCACACAGAACAGAAAAACACCCGATAAAATACGCACCAAGCAAGCTCTATCCCTTGCTGTGTTAATAGTGGCATGGAAAACCACATAATCCATATCTGTTAATGTGCAAACGACATCAAACAAAAGCTTGGTTCTATCCTTGCATTGAATATTCACCACCGAGTAACCCCTTTCCGTCCAGTTCTGCACAGTGACCACCGGAGAATCCGCACAATACTGCAAGATGGGCTTCCTCTCATAATCGCGGTCCGCAAACATCATCTGGTGCAGTCTTCTCTCTGTGTGGGTAACGGCCATGGAAACTGAGGTTTTCGCAGTTCGAATATCATTGTCTCCCTTAAGAACATTCCTTAATAGGCCTTCGATTCTATTGATCTTCTGTGAATCCTCAATCGGACAACCAGAATCACAGTCCTTAACGTAGATAAGCGAAGCAATCCGGCCATTGTGCGTCCACACCTTGGACTCCACCACATTGCATTGAAGGTCAGCTAGAACAGCAAACACCTCTGAAAGTAGGCCGACCCGGTCGGTCCCCGTTAGCTCCAGAGCCGTCAAGCCGTTAATTTCATTGGATCTTTCATAGTGAATGGTAACAAGGGACTGAAAACGTATCAAACCATTCCAACATCAGTTCAGAAACCAAACAATAAGTTTCCATTAAATGAGCACTTCAGTTTTTCACAGTAACTACCTTCTCAATGTAACTTATGACGCTCTCATCCGTTAATTTATTGCCGTTTTGATCGGTCACATGAAAAACTGCAGGAAATAAAGCAAAACCCATGTCACAATTAATCCAACATAAATCAATTTACGCTAGGTATCAGGTATACGTTAGCAGAGAAAAACTCTGTTTTTTCTTCATCTTCTTCTTTTGTGTGGTCAGTTTTTGTTTAAAAATCCACCAAAAATGAAGAGAAAAAAGAACCAGAATACTTTTCTTACCATCCATGAACCACCGACCATCTGAAGAAATGTAAGCCTTTTTAATTGAAAGGTTCAGATCCGTGAGAACCTGAACAGCCTCCAAGAGAATTCCATGCCTTCTGGCACTATCAACCTGTTAGACCAAGCCACAAGAAAACAGAGAAAATATATTCTTTAGTCATTTTTCTCTTTTTTTTCCTACTGGAAATTATTAATTTGTCGCCTAGTTTAATGGGGATTTCGTAGAAGCCAACCTTGACCAGAGTTGCAGTGGGGCAAACGGCATTGTCGATCACGACCCTGCAGAAAAAGCAATACAAAGGTCCAGTTAGAGAAGGCGACTTTTTCAATTTTTTCTTCTTTCTATTTTTCATCTTTTTGTTGTTGTTCTTTTCTTCTTCTTTTTTCCATAGTTTCTAATTTGGAAAAATCCCACCGAAGATCTTTGAAAAATCTCAAAAGAATAAGACTGTTTGGACCTCTGGAAAGCACGAGAAGACGGTGGAAAAGTCAGAGAAATTTTAATTAGTTTTCACATAGGGATAAGTTATTAATTAAATTAATTACAATTGGGGGAAATTGGATAGGGTCTGAGTTCAATTCAAACAAGGAAATTGAGTTAATGCAAAACATTCCACAAAATTAAAATCAAATCAGGAACGGATCTGAATTCACTGAACAGAAGGCAAAAAAAAAAAGTTTCCATTTCGGTAAACGATTTTACGAGAAAGGAAAGTAAAAACAGTACTGTGATCAAAGGACCGAAAAAAGAATAGTGCGGAAAACTGCAAAATCCGTAAGAAGAAAAAACAGAAAAAAAAAAATCTAAAAAATTTGGATGAATAAAAAGGAAATGGAAATAGAAAATTGAAGAGACTAAATCAAGAAAGTATGAAAAAACAGAGATAAAATGAAAGTGAATTAGGAAAATAATTGAACACAACACAAAGAATCAGGTGAAAACCAACAAATACTTGGAATAAGCATCTAAGAAACTAACCTTGGAGTGTTCATACGGAAAACAAGCTTCTCATACTCATCCAGAAAAGCAGGCCACTCCATTTCAATTCTCCAATGAACACAGAAAAAAAAAAATGCCCTTTTGATCTTCTTCTGAAACTAAACTATTTCTGAGCTTTAACGGCGAACAAGAAGAGGAATCTCCCAGAAATATCGGACTCTTCGCCGTACAAAAAACAAAGAGCCCAAATGCCAGATAGATACCTCAAAAACCTCTCTCTCTCTCTTTCTTGCTTTATTTGCTTCAGACCTTCGACCAAATCGCCATTAACAACTTTCGCCAAACAACTATACAAATACACGAGTTACTGTCACTCTCACTCTCTTTCTCTCTCTAACTCAATTTCGAAGCGCAAAGCACGCCTTGTTCTTAACTCGCTGCCTCTTGGCCTGTGGAGGCTTTTATATATATTACGAATTTATTTATATTATATTTTGATTTTTTATTATAATTTTTATTATTTTGAAACCACGCCTATACGCGAAGAGAGGGACAGACAGACAGTCACATGCGCGAGTAGTGCCTGCCCGTTAAGCCCTGCCCTCGCTGACCTACTCTCTCTCTCTCTCTTTTCCATGCATTTTTTTAATTTTCTATCTCTACCGGTCAACCAATAATCTTACGACGCATCAGATGGGTCCCGCCAACCTTAGTGGTTGGAGAATCCAGCTAGGACGCCACGTGTGCAGGCTTCTGGAGGGCTGTGTGGCTGTGCCTTTGCGTGCGTTCGACTCCAATTAGCAATAGTTGTTGCTCGGAGTCGTGGGATACGATTCTTGATAGACGGGAAGGGTCAGTCCACGTGGCGTTTAACTGTTAGTGGGTCCCAGATGACTTTGTAATTACGTTGGGATTCGACGACCGGCATCATGACGTCCGCACGTGACGGTTCACCGTCCCTGTGTAGTATGTCTTTGTTCCGGCCGATTTCCTTTGTACGTTTCGTCGTATCCTTGATCTTTATGTCCCCACTTTAATCATTTTCTTCTTCCCAAAATACCCTCCTTTGCAATTTTCCATTGTCGTAATCCAGAGGTAGATTCGTAAATTTGTGGAGAGGATTCCCGTTTGATGCCGAATCTTATGTTTAGATTCCGTTGTTTAATAAGTCATTAAAGGATTAATGACCGACGTGGCGCAATATCATTGGTTTGCGCAAGATTACCCGAATGGGCTTTAGACGTAGTCGTGGAGGCACGTTTTCGGACTCATTACAATTTAATTTTTTTAAAAATTGTTGTGAGGCATCGACACGTGGCGATCCCAGGATCATTGTGAACAGAAACAAAGCCACGTGGTCCCGCGGGGTCGCCTCTTTGTCTGACAATCACGTGCGAGCTCGCAGAAAACACGTTTGCTGGTTGGCCGCTGTCTCTGACACCCGACTTCTCCCACCGTCACGGTAACCGTATTCCGTTAACGGAAATTCTCTCCGTTAATCCTCGCCTTCTTTAAGCCTTAGCAAAGAGGACATAGCTCCACGTGGCGACACGTGCATCAATTCCATTTGTTTTGTTCTAACGATTTTTAAACAAAAAAAAAGTGTTGGGAGTATTTTTTTATTTCCCACTGGAAACTGTTCGTTGAAACGACAGGTGTGGCGGTTAGATTCGCACCGTTTCAAGTGGGTTTGGCGGGAAGGTCAACTGTTTCCCGCCAGATCGGACGGCTGCTGGTGGGTCCACGTCATTTATTGGTATATCCACCTCGATATGGGGATGTGAGGGGGAAAAACACAAAAGAAAAAGGGCAAAAGCGAACATGGGCCCACATTTTTTATTTCTTTTTTTCTTTCTATTTTTTTTTTTGGGTGAAAATTTTGAGAGCGAAATAGGAATGGCTTTTTGCAGCGAGGAAGGGCCATGTACGAGGAGAAGAGAGAAGGCAGGGGAATGAAAAGGGAATGAGACACGTGGATGACAGCTCAGACGTCAGTTACTGGGTCCCACGCTTGTACAAATCAAATTCTTTATTTTCCATTTTTTTCGTAATTCCCGCCTTTTTCTTGGGACTTTCTCTCTCTCCCCTCCGATCTGCTTTTTTGACCGTTAAAAACGCTTTTTGGCGGCAAATTCGAAACCCGTGGAGAGTGGAGAGACCAAGAGCGGGAGAGATAGCCGGGTGGGATTTTATTCCATACAACGGCGCCGCAGATCTCTCCGTGAGACACTCCAGGCATGTTTTGATCCAACGTGATTAAACATGTTGGCTTAATTATTTATTATTAAATCAATCAAAATTAATTAACCATAAGCGGGGATCGAATTTTTCGTCCGTATCTTAGTCCGATCTTAACCATTGAACTTGGATCCCTTGGATGTGAGATGTGATTCCCACTCACTCACTACTTCACATGTCAATAAATTCTGGGTTTTTGTTAATTCACGCGATTTCACATTTTCTTTACAGGATTAGTTCATCTGTGGGTCCCTTGTGGAAGCAAATTTCTGGAAGATTTTTGCCGTTTGAAGTTTCATTAAATTATTATATCTATGGTGTGGTCAAAGTAGTAGGCATGTGACGGGCAAAGAAAATAAGAGGAACATATGACCGTAATAGTATAGTTTGTGTTTTCTCTTTCTCATTTTTTTCTTTCTTTATAATCATTCCTTGAAATTTGTTTTCTAAATCTACTTTAGTTTTCAGATTTGTGGGTTTATGATGTTATCTCCAGTGGCAAATATTCAAAGTTGATTAAGTAATATTTGCCTTTTTGTTTTTGCTGGATAGAAAGAAACATAAATTAGTTTTGATTTTTGTGACGTGTACGTCATTTTCTCACTTGTTTTGACAATGGCTAGCACATGTAATGAGATTGTTATGTTATGGAAACATGGCATATCATTGTCTAGTACATTTTTCATGTGAATTGAAAAATGCTATATAATCTGATTCTTACTCATCAAACTCTATTATTTGCGCCAAGCTGATATATGTCTGTAGGTCAATTTTTTTAAAATATATATATATATATATATAATTGTAAAAAAAGTGTTTTATCCCATTAAAATTTTACACATATATGTATGTGCTCTGTGAAATCTGAACAAAAGTTCAACTTATATTCGTGCTAATTTGGCCTCGTTCGTTTCGCTGATTCGAGTTTTGTTATAGTAAAAAATTCTCACAAACAGTCGCATCTAACTTTTTTATTACAGTAAAAATCTCTCACATAAAATCACATCTAAACTCGAATCAGCGAAACGAACGAGACGATACAACTTGTACAACTCAAAAGTTAGAGGGTCCATTTGTTGAGGTCTTATTTTCAATTTTGTGATTTGGAAGACAGTAATATAGCTTGGGGAGAAAAACGTGTTTGGTAGCACATTTTCATAATAGAGTTTTCAAAATATTCACGAGCAGACATCAAAATTGAAAAAAAATAAAAGATATCAGAAACGAAAATAACAAAAAGATTGATTCATTTCCATTCATAAATGTTTACTCGCCTTATTTTATGCATTTAGATAACAAATCAAACACGCTTTCACATTTTCAAAATTATCAAAATATTTTTCACATACTAACACCAGACTTTTTTTTTTTCAAATAGTACCAATTACATTTTCGAAACACGGTTTTGATGGAATAATGGATCCAAAACACAAATAACAAACCAAAAGACCTTGTTTATTTTTTAATTATTTTTTCCCTTTTCCTTTTTTTTAACACAAAGAGCAAAACCAAAGTTAAATACAATTTAAATTAGGCACTAGTACAAAATAGAAAATCCAATCACATGGGTATAACATATAAGTCAACACAGCAGTGGATCACATAATCTTTGAACAGGAAAAATAGTTGACTGTCTGCTTAATTAAATAGTTAGTACGTAATAGTACATTGTTATGATTCTGTTTCTAACGTCCTTGTGGGGGATCAGTCATTGTGAGAAAAAGCTTACCTAATGAGTTGCAGAGCGGATTACTTCCTAGATACAGATATCATCAGGATGCAACAGACCGTCCGATCACTATCACGCAGTATTATTTATTTTACCGATTTAAGTTTATAATTTGAGTTTTATTACAATAAAAAGTTTTCAGAAACAGTCATATTTAACTTTTTTATTACAATAAAAAACTCTTATATAAAATCATATTTCAATTTAAATTAAAAATTCAAATTATCGAACTAAACAAGCCCGTAGAATTACATTTTAAACACAAACTCCTCATTCATTTCACCGATTCGAGTTTTCAGTTTTAGGTTTTTACAGTAAAAAGCTATCAGAAAATGTCACATCTAATTTTTTCTGCTACAGTGAAAAACTCTCAGAAAATGTAACATTTCAACTCGAATTCGCGAAGTGAACGAGACCTTAAACAACCAAACAATTGAAAACAAAATAATAAGTGAAAAAAAAGGCCAAAAGAAAAACGTAAACCAAAAGACAAAAGGAAGAGCCTTTTGAGGGTCCTTCCTACTTACTAGTTATGGCTTGCCTTGTAAGTTTGGTTTCTGACTGCTCTGTCTTGTGAATGATCTTGAGAATGGAATGAGAGTTCATGACTGGCTGACATAACCAACCTTTTCTGATATTGACTCAAAATCCGCTTGTGAATTACTATTCATGTATTTATTTGTAAGTTTGAATTATTGTTTAAATATTTTTATTATAATATTTTTTTTAATAAAATTTAAATTTTTGTAAATTCAACAAAAAATGAGCCCGTGCTGATTCGAGTTTTTATTTCGAGTTGAGATGTGACTTTATGTGAGAGCTTTTTACTATAGCAAAAAAGTTAGATGTGATTATTTCTGAGAGCTTTTTACTGTAGCAAAACTCGAATCGGTGAAATGAACGGGGCCTTAAATTTATATTTTCTTTAATAGCTTTGTGTGCAATGTTTTTAGGCGCCGTTCATTTCATCAATTCGAGTTTAGAATTCAAGTTTTGCTATAATAAAAAGCTCTCAGAAACAGTCACATCTAACTTTTTTAGTACAGTAAAAAATTCTCACATAAAGTCACATCTTAATTCGAATTAAAAATTCGAATCAACGAACTAAACGGGACTTTAATCTTAAATGGATTTGAAATTAAATCAAAATGAAAAAGTATGTAAACTAACAAAACAAAATGGAGATACGATGGTTGAAACAAAACTCTACCACATGATCTAATTTTTTTCTTAATTAAGAAAGTCCATCCTCTAATTAACATTAGTAGTATATGCCCACAAATTCATTGGCTTGAAATTATTGTTAGCTGCTCAGGTCAGCTGGTGAAAAATTCATAACGCAATTGAAATATGACCTAGTATGTCACTGCCTTATTAATTTTTGCCTTGTAGTTTTTTTTTTTTTTGTTAAATTAAAATTGTGTATTACAATATGAAGCATGTATTATGTCACAAATAATAATAATAATAATAATAATA